CAAATTAACACACACAAAACTCACAACGCATTTACATCTGAACTTTCTAGAATTAAATAAACAATTTTCTGTAAACTTCTCTTGTAGAAAATAAATTTCCATTTAAGATAAAGTTTAAAAGAAAAAAAATATATATTAAAAGTCTTGAAAAATTATCCAGTCTTGTGGGGAAAAAAATATTTCGACGGTCAAGTCCCAATGCCACCGAAACCATCCACTGGGAACACTAACCGAGGCGTATTTTCAATTGCAAAACACTTAGGAAACAAAAGCAAGGAATCTGCCATCGAGTTTACAACGAAATATCCCATTTTGCTGCACTTTTTTAAGTAACCAATGCATGACTGATCTCGCATTTCCACACAGAAACATTATCACACAAACTCAACATGCTTTCCGCTTTCTCGTCGAGTCAAAGCATAATCCGTGCTACATGTATCACCCTTTTTTATTTTATGCGGTTTTATCATAACACTGGCGACTAATACAAACTTGTTTTTAACATATGCACCTCTGTAGAACCTTGCGTACATGCTATATGTGGTGAACCACGAGCTATTTGCTTTCTGAAGCAAAACTGCGCCAAATCAAACAGCTAACGTTAGCATTCAGGAGCATCGTCGATTTCAGGCAAACCCACCAACCCAGCAGTTTCAATCAGCACAAGGTACGCTGATACACAAATAACACACGGTACGTGACTTAAAAACCACCGTCAATTCCGCAATAGCTGAAAACATCGGTGAAAACAAAGAGTGCAGCTGTCTTCGGTAATATCGGCAATGCTAAAGCTGAGAGGCCCAGAATGTGACGCGCGCGGTATTGATCAAACTTACACAAAACAAAGGAGATATCAATCCTTTCCAAATATAAAAGAATGAGACATTAATGCCGCTCTACGGTGTCGTCTGTCCGATTCCCACCGTGACTAAGCAACAATTTCGCTGTCGTGATATCTGAAGCAAGGACGAATCGCAAGAAACTACAGCATCCGCATCTCCTCCACCGCCATCTGTAGAACTACGGAAACCCGGAGGCGCTGAAACGCAATTGACACTCGAAACACACTGTAACGGTCAATGGACAAAAATTTGTCTCACCAGTTTTGTACAGTTTCCTACGAATAAAGTATACAATTAAAAATAGGTATGAAATGTTTACAAAATACATTACACACTTCGAATATCTTGATTTAATAGAACTAAATGTGTCACATGGATGGTGTAACCATCAAGTAAAATTGCTCAAATATACTCCGTGACCTAAACAAATCTGAAGGTCAAAATATGTGGTATTTTAAAAGAGTTATTGACCTTCACATACCTCTAATTTGGTTTTCTTGTCACATAACTAAATGGCTTCATCTTGGTTACATTACACTTTCTTTCAAAAAGTTTTTCAATGTAAATATAATTTTGAAACAAATTTGCTTCACTTTTTTTTTTAAAGAAATAATAATGAAACATTATGCCACATAACTACTTAGGCCAGTATGTCTCTCTTTTTTTCCTAAGAATTTTAGCCTTTTATTGATATTCTTTATTTTAAATCTCTGGACAGTTACACAAGCTAGGAATTTTTGTCTATATTATTAACTACATATTTCACTAATTATTACTATATTTAAATATTACATATTTTAAAAATCTGCTTTGACGTCAATGGAAATTCTCTTTTTAGTGCCATGTGTTTACAGTACACCGTTTCCGTAGAAATTACTACTTAATAACTAGTATTATTTATTTATTTATGTGAATTTAAAAGGATTTGAGGGGGAAAAAGAAAGAAGTAAACAGTAAAAATTTAAATTATTGTAAAGTAAACAATTCAAACTATTTGCAAATAATATACAGCTATAATTTCTTCTCTTAAACATGACGGCCCAAAATCTAATCTCAAGATATTTAATGACTTTTTCCCCCCATTTATTCTGAACACACACACACACACTTACATTTTTTTTTTTTTTAAGCGAAAAGGTAAAATTAGAGGAGAAATTAAGTAAAATTACATGAGTGGAGTAAGATAGCCACATGACAGAAAGCCTCGAGTGGCATGTTGTTGCTAGTGTTAATTTAATACTTCATATAAGGCTAACTGACTGAAATTATTCAATTTGAATTCATGATAGTGTTGCTATGATAACATCTTTAATTAAATATGGGCAACTAAATCTGCTTATACAGTTATCATAGGCCCGTATTTCATAGAATAAATTTATCTTTCAGATTAATATTTTACTGGGATGCTGTTTTGTCTGTTATCAGTTATACACTTGTTCAAATAACTTTCAAAACACAATTCTAAATAGAATAGTTGATTTAGTATTTTATATTACTGATGACACTAGACACCACAGACCAGCCTAAAATGCAACTTTTAAAACGTTTTGTCATCTTAAAGGGATAGTTCACCCAAAAAAACAGTTGGTGTTTGCCATTGACTTCCATAGTAGGAAAAAAAATACTATGGAAGTCAATGGCAACCACCAACTGTTTGATTACCAGCAATCTTCAAAATATCTTCTTTTGTATTCAACATAAGAAAGCAACTCATACAGGTTTGGAACAACATGAGGGTGAGTAAATGATGACAGAATTTTCATTTTTGGGTGAACTATCCCTTTAACAACAAAAAGTGTTACGTAATGGATTGCAGTACAGCAGCATTAAGAATATTGAATATCGGGGGACAGTTTGACTATATCAAATTATTGCAGGGGACTTACCCCCTCAATGTCTATGGTGGTTACAGTACTGCTTACTTTCACAGTTGGGACAATAACAACTAAATGACGCTTGTTATCTAGCAATTTACAAACAACCTGATTTCAGAATAGTCCTTTGAGCAGATCCCTGTAAACTGAGATACAACAAAGGTTTAATGAGTCAGTGGTCCATTGAACACAATGATGTCCTCAATTTAACCTCTGTGGGGCTTTAGACATGATAAAGGATTCGTCCTGGTCACCATGGCTAGCTGCCAACACTGCCTAATAATTATACTCACCGTACTGAGGTAGCTACTATATTCACAAATAAAAGTTTAGGAAATCTTGAAAAAGGAAGCATAAATAAAATACATAAGAAGAAAGAAAATACAGTAAATGCCCTAATTGTGTCCACACATACAGGTCTGTCATCAGGTGGGACCTGTGGTGAATCTGGAAGTGTTCTCACTGTGAACACGAAACAAATCAGGTTTAGACAGACAAGGCCATTTGAAGATAGCAACACCACATCGGACCTGCAGAAGCGAGAAAATGTTAAGAATTACAAAAAAATCATCAAATGTGGGTCTTTTGAAGAGAGGAAGAGGCCTGCACTGGGCTCAGTGGGTGTTAAAGGGGTCATATGATGCAATTTCATTTTTTCCTTTCTCTTTAGAGTGTTACAAGCTCTTGGTGCATAAAGAAGATCTGTAAAGTTGCAAAGACTAAAGTCTCAAATCCGGAGGGCTTCATCCACTAGGGGGACACAACCTGGAACTGTCAGGATGTTTGCCACTGGAAACTCATCAAAAATGTCCTCATTAAGCTGAGAGCCAGGACCTATTGACTGAAGAGTGATGTAAAGTTGAGCAATAACAGACAAATCATACCCTGATCAGCAAGGCTCAAATACTTCTGCATCAACACCAAACAACAAAATAATAACCATGCTATTGTTTTTTAATATTTTAATATTTTTTAACAGCCCAAATTCAGCTGAAACTGGTAAGTAAATCATTAGTTTTTGTTCTTGTTTTGTTTACCTACCGGCTTACTCTCACAACACACACTGTTGTCAATTAACCATGTTGTGAAATGAACAGACCACAGAAGAGACAAAGTGCAGACCATTAAAATATTTAAGACGTTTTTATTAGAAAAGCCAATGACCATACCTGTGGCTTGAGATGACTGTTAGTAATTCTGTGTTAGAATACCTGCCTTCAAGTATATGATTAGTAACTAAACAAATTGACTGCATTGTCTACCACAGAAAACAACAAACACACCTGCTATCATGCAACTAGACATTTAGTTAAACATTATCTATATATCAGTGGTCTCTATGGCATCACTATGCAAAGCATTTGTCAATTTATTGATGCGGAATGTCTTTTAAAATACTTCATATATGAGCAATGAAAAACCATACAGGTTTAATTGTTAATACCAAAATCACTGAAAGGGCTTTTCATAAAACTATACACATATCAGTAGTATATAAATTAAATCTATCTATTAATGAAATCTATATTTTATTAAGATACTGCTGAATACAACAGATTGAGAAATATCTGTTAATAATAATAATACAAATAATTATAATTACTATTATTCAGAGAAAAGTCATCCAAAGCATAACAGGTCATTATACACACTTCTCATCTCCATATAAACCACACGCTGTTTAACATTATTTCTTAAAACTAACTAGTATTTTAATTTGATTGGTTTTAGTATTTTACGTTACTAGCACTTATTTTTAAATTACTAGTAGTAGTAAGTAATACAATAGCAACTGGTACCTGTTCAACTTTTCACTGTATTCATTGGAAACTAATATTCCTTTGCCACTAGTCAGTATGGAACATATATTCAAAACTACATTCAAACTAAACTATTTAACTATTACAATGAGATAAGTACTGGTAGTAGTAGCCTACCTAAAAATAGTTTATAGTAAAGTGGAACAAGTATAAATAACGTTGAATTCAATGGCAAAAAAAAAAAAAAAATTGTTACTATCAAAACTGAAAGTCATTTGTCACTATGTGGAAAGTGACTAGTAGCAAAGTGATAAATATCTCATGAGTCATGAATAGTTTCTGGTGAAATGAACATATAATAGTCACTATGGATTACTTCTAGGACTAGCAACATTAAAATAGATACTAGTTAGTCTTTTGGAAATAAATGGTAAAACGGCTTGCCATACACAAACTATCTTTTTTACGAATTCCTCCGGATTTCATATTTCCAGTTTATCCCGATAATAGTTGCGTTCGCTGAATTGATTTCATGGTGGGGATCCCACACACCACTGAAGGCCCATCGGGTTTCCATGTGTTGTCTGACCAAATGCCTTACAGAATAGCTTTTAGCTGCCTCCGTCGTACGTTACCTTTTGCATTAAACAATTTTATTCCGCGTTCCGTTGTAATGGAATATTTCTTAGCTTAACAAGAACCCGAAAACGGTCGGATCGTCATCAGTCCCTCTGGACAGCAGCGCATGCATGTCGACCTCCTCCTTCACGGCATGAGCTGTGGCTCGCAGAGAGGAGGAGCCGCAACCGGTGCATCGCATATCGACTCCACCAGATCATCTGAGGCAGCCCTACTACACCATGAACCAAAAAGGATGGTGCCTTCCACAGCCTGCTTCGTACTGATAAAACAGTACAGAGTCATCTAATGAGTATTTATTTTATCACCGTGGACCGAGCATTAAATTCAAACATTTGGATCTAGCTGTATGCTATCTAGCACCAGGTGAATTGTGTTTTCGTGAGCAGTTTGTTGCCCGGTGTGGATTTGACGGCTGTTCTGCTGGCTGTTTAGGAAAAATCAAGTGAAAGAGGTTGCCATCATTGTCCTACAAGATGGAGTGCTTAACCGAACTGGAGAAGTATAAGAAGTGAGTACTTTATAGCTGCTATGCGTTTGTTTTGGCACACAAAACATACCTAATGCGAACCTACATGCACTACAGATTTTAACCAATTAGCCACTGAGCTACCTAGTTTGAGCTATTAGCCATTGAGCTAACTTGCTAACCCACCGTTTACAGTGACCCGTTTTCATGGTTTCAGAGCATAAACCACAACTCAAACCGTGAAATAAGATTTTTTTTTAGAGAAAAATATATCATAGATAAGTTACGTTCAACAAATAGGTTAGGACATAAAAAATAACCTATCATAGACGTCTCAAAAGGTGACCAGAGCGACAGTTGACTTTGCAGTTAGCCAAAGGGAACTACTACAAGCAGGGACCGATCAATAAATGGAAATAAATTTCCTTTAAATAATAAAAAAATTGTTATATTCTTTTTTTGTTAGAAAATCACAGTTTGCCTAAAATATTTTAGGGAGTACTGTAATGTCAGTGTTTATCTTGTTATATTTTCTGGAAACACAAGTGAAATCAGATGCAGCGAGGCCTCCATGTAGGCCTCAAATCCACGAGGTAAATTTTTCAGCTGCCCGCTTTTCAGGGTCAGAGAATCTGCGCGTTGCCATTATGAACCAAGCAGTCAGTGCTGGAGGTACTGGTGACGAACCGAAGGCCGTGCTGTTAGGGAACCTGAGTTGTTGACGTTGTGTTGTTATTGTCATCCACGGCAATAACAGAACCGAGACAACTGTAGACAAAATACTGCTATGTTGTGCAAACAAATGTCACCCACATGCGCGAGATAACGTTAGCTCATCTGCAGTGTTCAAACATTTTTCGTCCACTTTGCCGAGACAAATCGATCTTAAACATCGTTTTATTATAAGATCAACTATCAAGCTTTTACTATTAAGAAATAATAGACTAGACAATCATGTGTTACTCTTTTATGTCAGATCACCAAGCGTGCTTACTGATATTATGTGTCCAGGGCACGCAGTTTACCTTTCACATTTGAGACAAAAGGCTGTTTGTCCTGCTGAGGCAGATAAGTGCTCTTCCCTCCACTTTACTTCTATGTGCTGCTGCAAGCCTAATGTTACAGATTACCATTTCAACAAAATTCTCGTTTTGAAAAGCAGCAAATGTAAGCCTTATTATTATTATTATTATTAGCAAAATATTTTAAATCCTAAAAAACGAAGTGTTTTGAAAAAACAAACATTGAAATGAATGAATATCATCTTTAACTGCATAAGCCAAGTAAAATGCAAAATGATTAATATGACAAGTGAGCTGAATATCATTTTGTAAATGCATAAATTACACTATTTACCAGCCTGATACATGGGACAAATACCAGGCCAAATATTATTTTACTATTAGTCATATTAATATTCAAATGACGGATGAATTTACAGCAGAATACTGTAAAGTTTGATTTGACATCATTAGCAAAATGAAGAGTTTCCCTTTTAAAATGTTAATAATCCTATTTCTTTTATAACCTCCATCATGCACAGTTATATAGTTAGTTTCATCTGAAAGTCAGCATGAAGATTCACTATTTTCTAAATGCATATTATAGATCTTATTGTAAACAATTCATCCATTCATTTTTTTTTTTTTTTACTTCGCAATTTTAATCGAAATGTCATAACTGGATGTTTTGGTGAAAATGACTGACATTTCTCTGCTAGCATATGCAGGACTTATGCAAGTCGTGCCCTAATGGTTAGAGAGTCGGACTCGTAACCCAAAGGTTGCAGGTTCAAGTCTCCTACCGGCAGGGATTGTAGGTGGGGGGAGGGAATGTACAGCGCTCTCTCCCACCTTCAATACCACGACTGCGGCTTCCTTGAGTAGGCCTGTCACAATAACAACTTTTTGTTGTGCGATATATTGCCCCAGAAATAATTGCGATAAGTGATATTATTGTCATTTTAAAGATCATTTTATGCCACTGAATATATAATCATAATGTAACAGCATAATAATGCAAGAAGGCCTACACACTTCCAAATGACAACAAACTTTTAATTTTTAAATAATGGGCGATATATTGCGTCACCAAAAATTATTGAGGTCATGTACATATATTGCGCGATAAGTCGATATATTGATTATTGCGACAGGCCTACCCTTGAGCAAGGCACTGAGCCCCCAACTGCTCCCCGGGCGCTGCAGCAAAAATGGCTGCCCACTGCTCCGGGTGTGTGTTCACGGTGTGTGTGTGCACTTTGGATGGGTTAAATGCAGAGCACTAATTCCAAGTATGGGTCACCATACTTGGCCACATGTCACTTCACTTTCACTTTCTTTCACTTTCACTTCTCTAATCATTTAGAGCACTTAAACCCACCCCTGCAAGCTTGCATTCATCTGCCTCCATTTTTCAGTGCAAAATCCAATCAACAATCAATGTATGGAACCAAGTTCCCCCCTTTATTTTTGTTATATTCAGTTGTCGCAATATAGGAGGAGAAAAAGATCTATAACTACTTCTGTTTCACTGCAAATTTAACATGGTTCTCGACCAGATCAAAACAGACTTGTGACCCGTTTTTGTGACCCACTGGTTGGGAGCCACTGGCCTAGACAGCAAAAACACAGTAACCTTCTTATAAGAATTAAAGCACTTCCAGTAGTGTAGCTGTGGATTTCTACAAAAATTTTACCTTTTAGCAATGAAACACCTGATGTCTTCATCTATAGACAAATATGTACAAATAAAGTGGACAAATATATTTGTATCATGGAATCTTCATTGCCTGAATGCAGTTATGCTGTCTCTTCTCCATAGGTGTGACATCGTATCAGAGAGCATACTACTCTGAGTTGGTTTGCCCCAGTGTTGCAGCTTCCTTCAAGTTGCTCAGCATCAGCTCTGCCTCAAAATGGATGCTCTGTTGAATCAAGAGCTCAGGTACTTTCTCAAGTATGGCTGTTGAGTGGAATAGAGTGCTATATAGCATTTGCTTAAACTGCCAGGAGAATGTTAATTTAAACAACTTTCACTTTTGGCTGTTGTTGGAACAGTAGTCTTCTTTGCAGTAGTGTTCTTCAATTGAGCTTCAGTGAACATAACTTGAATTCAATGTCCAATTTGTCATGGACCAATATATCTTTAGCTCCTTATGTCAACGGACAGTATGCAAGAATGTTAAGCCACACTTCCCTGCAATACTAATCCTGCTTCTCCAGTTCCGGGCTAAATTTGGTTTTGCACTATTGAGGGATTTTAGATAAACCGAGTGCCTGCATATATTATATGTAGACTTAAAACCCTTTTGCATTTCACCTTGCACTCTGCAGCTTAGGGTTGGGTACCGAAACCCAGTGCCATATACCTATGTAACCGGTATGTACTAGAACCGAATCAGAACGCAGATTTTTGTGTCTCATTTCGGTGCCACCAATGCTTGAGCGATCGATTGAAATATTTGTGATCTGGTTCTCCGAAATGGACGTAAGGATCACCGGCGCACCGCACGTGAAAAATAATTTCCCGACTGAGAAAATTCACGAACGCAAGTTGGAAAGCTCTAATAATAAAAATCCAACACATCTTTGTAGTAACGCGAGTGTCCATGTTGTTTTCACATTCCGACTTAAAAGCACAACTCGGGAAATGAGAGCATCCGAGGAGCACGTGAATGCAGCAATTACACTTGCTCTGATGGCAGCAGGTAGATACCGTTCTATACTGTAAAAAGCATATGGTAAAAAGGCTATGTCGATTAGCAATGGATTATAAATATACTTAATTTTTATGAAAATACCACAGATGGCTTGAATAACACAGATAAACTATACATTGTCGCAGTCGAGTTTATTGTCTTTGTTTTATAATTCAAAACGTTTATATCTTCTGTTTACTCAGTTACAGCAATAGCAATGCCTTTGTCCATATTAGGGATTTCCTGAGTCCTTTTCCTTCTGTGATACTCATGTGGAGTTTCTGCACGAGGGTGCCCTCTGGTGTCCAGTATGAATGAAATGCGTTTTATTTTAACAAACAATGCAGCTCTTGCGTTTTATGCAGTGTTCAGTATTTGAGCCTTTGCATGAAATGTGATTTCACATGCTTGATATTTGAGTTTATTTTATGCTACTAGTGAGTGTCATTAGGGATATAATTTTAGATATATCATTGTTGCTTTAGAATGGCTAAAGTGGGTGACATCAAAATTCTATTATATACTTCATTCTTGATGGTGCCATGACTAAAAAATATTAAATAGGGTCATAGTAGATTAAAATATTGCCTATCTGACAGATATGAATGGCATGAGAAACCCCTTCCAATTTTATAATTGTAGGGTAACTCCATTAAGGTTAGATGAAGAAAAGGAGTCTCAGAGGAACATGTAACCTAGTTGTTGCTTGGTAGCTTCATTTAGGTTTTATGAGAACTAGCAAATAGTCTGCTTATTTGTTGTTGAAAGTGTGTCAATTGTTTATTATATGAAGTGACTTCAAAACTAGGAAGTAAATTTGAACTAGGACTATATTGTGTTTCATAGACTTTTTTTTTAACTATTAGTCCTTAGCTATTGGATGAAGGAGTGGTGTTATTTACACAGCAGGTTTTTAATTTTCCTTGTAATGAGATTTTAAATTCACTAGACTAATGTTCTGCTTTTTTCTTTTCATGCTATTCTTTTATGACAACAGGGAAGGTGTGAAAGATTGTTCGGTAGGTGTATAATTCATATATCTTGCAATTTTTGTTTCAGTTAAATGTACATAAACAACATGAAACATGTTATTCTAATTTTATTATTTTTAATTTTTATTTTACTAGATTAAGGTTGAAAACCTCCCGAAGCAAGTCATATTCAAAGGCCTTGCACCTAGGGTCGTATTGACAAACCATCTTCTGCCTAAAAGAACTAAGGCGAAGGTAAACCTTGAGGAACAGGGTCGACAAAAGGTCTCCTTCAGCTTCACACAGACAAAGAAACCACGTCAAAATGTATTTCTAGCCCCAGCAAGCCCGGAGAAATCTGCAAGTGAACATTCTTCTGCACTGCAAGCTGGACCTGTACCTACTCCAGATCTAGCAGGACAGAGTGATGAATCCAAAAATGTGGATACAAATACTACAGCAGCTGGGGAGACCCAGACAGCACCCACCCCAGTATCCTTCCCTCTCAAATCAAAACATGTTCTTGGAAAGATGCATTTTAAGAAACAGATTCTCAGCGTTACTGTTGTTGAGGATAACTCCATTGTCAGCACTGCCTCAGCAGAGATTTCGGAGCCAGTAGTCCCATCTGAGTCAGACAAAATTAGTTCTTCAGCCAAGGTTGAAACTGAAACCTCATTGCAACAGTGTCACAAGAACTCTGTCATCGATAGTTCCTCTGAAAAAGTTATCAAAGAGGAAAACCCTCAGGAGAAATTAGACTCATGCCTTAAAGGTCCTGTTTCTTCCCATATTGGGAAGGGAGATATGGATTCTTCCATTATTTCTGAGCATGAGGAAAACAGAAAATCCCAGCCTCGATCAGATAGCACACTTCCAGGTTCGGAGTCTGATGGGGATTCAATCCGAACATCATCTAGCCAGAAGTCTAGTGACCGCAGAAATAAAATGGACTCTGAATGCCAGAGTAACGAAGCGAAAAGATCCTCTAATTCCAAAACTAAGGAGTTAGAAAAATCCAGGCCTGATAGGAAAGAAGATGAAAAGGGGTTGAGTCGTTTAAAATCTGAGCATGACTCCAGGCACACATCATCAAGATCTTCTCGTTCTGACAGAGACCGAAGAAGGACCAAAAGTCGGTCACGGTCTAGATCTCGAGGCTGTCGAACTAGTTCATATTCCAGGTCTGAAAGGTCCAGGAGTGAGAGACCGTCAAGGTCAGATAGGTCACATTACCATGATTCTGAGCGGAGATTTCATAGAAGTTCTCCTCATCGTGAAAGGAGAAGCTCACGTTCACGAACCGATGGCAGGTCTCGTGACAGTTCTGACTCGGAGGATGACCACCGGCGGACAAGGACTCGAGGTAGTGACTCAAGTCGATCCTCCACTTACTCTAGCTCGCAAAAAGACTCAGAATCATCCACTCACTCCAGATCCCACAGGGACTCAAAACCCACAGATTGTTCTCGATCATCTGAGTCAGACAAAAGATCACAGCATTCAAAGTCAGAGCGATCTCATTTAAAAGCTGGTGACTCTGAATCCAATAGAAAGAGCTCTCCTGAAGCAGAAGCAGTTCACAGGAACTCCAGTGCCCACTCTAAATCTGAGATTAATGCTAAAACCTCACATTCTAACCCAGCTACCTCATCCCGAACATCTGAGAAAAAGGTCCATAAAAACAGCTCTGACTCTGATGAGGAGCACAGAAAAAAACGTCAGTTACAAGGATCAGACAGGTCATCTGTGTCTGGGACTTCATCTTCCAAAAAAACTGATTCAGCAGATCACAAGACTTTAAATAATGTTACAGGAACAGAGAGACAATCAAAAGACAGGTTAAGTAATAACACAAAGCAGTCACAGTTAGTCCCCAGCCCAGTTACTCCTCCGAAGGAATGCAGCAAAATTGATGACAACTCTTCTCCGCCTAAATCTAAATGCACTTCTCAACAGATGCATGAAGCTACGCACAAAGTTAATTTGGTCAAAACAAATCAACAAACTGAGCATCAACCTCCAAACCAAGAGGGAAAGTGCACAAATGTTCCTGAGAGTCACAAGACAACTGATAGATTGAAGGAATTCATGACAAGTAGAAGTCTTGAAGTTAGAAGTTCCACTGATAAACCTGGAATGAAAAATGAGATTCCAATCCAAAGTAAAGCTCTGGCAGAAGGACTGACTGACTCATTTTGTGTAGGCCACACTCCCGATCAGGATTCAGTAGGATCACTGCCAGACCCTCTTTCTGTGAAAGAATTACCACCTGGAGGATGCTTGAAATTAAACACTAAATTAGATGGGCTTTCACTAACCATTAGTAAAGCCAGTATGCCCATCACACAGAGTGCTCAACTCTGTGAAAAAGATTCTGAGCAGCATTATGTGAATCCTGAACAACCCATTAGTGGGATTTTGAAAAAGGATGGTAGTGCAAAAAAATCCCGATGGGATATTGTTGGTCAAGGCACTTCAGAAAATCAAAGCCCTATGAAAATAGTGAATCCAGATGTGGAAAAGGTCATTTCGGCAAAAAGAATAGAGTTCAACAATGATACTACCCCTGATGAATCTTGCACACAGAAACAGGGCTCTGAAGTACCATCTGAAAAATCTGTAGAAGGACAAATACGAGACACATCCTCAGCTGAATCTCATCAAAAAGTAAGTCCTTGTGCATCTGACCTTGCAACCCAACATACTCATGGTGAACTTATAAATCAGACTGTTGAAGTTCCTCAATCAACAAGTGCCCCTGTTGTTAGTGATCTTCCCCTTAATTGCAGTTCTGGCAGTAAAGAGAAAATCAATGTAGACAAACTAAAGCCTGAAACTCAAAACCCTGATTCCTTAAACCATGATGGTAAATGCCACAGTGAGGACAGTGAGAGTGAAGAATCGGACTCAGATTCAGATGATGGGCGTGTTTCCTTAAAGCGGCTGCACTCTGTGGTGGTTGTGCCAAAAAATTCAACCATTGCTCTTGAGATGAATGACTTGAATGACTCTGTGTTTTCTGGACAGCAACAGACTGATACACATGAAAGCATTAATAGGGAATTTGGTTGTGGCTTTAACAATCAGTCAAAACTTGAGGAATCATCAGCACTTTTTAAGGCCAGTGCACAAACTGCAATGCCAAGTCCAGATATTAAATGTGTTTCCTACCAATCGCAGAGTAACATGGTTGACAGCACCAGCCATTCGGAGGCTACCAGTGGTCTTGTGGACAAGAACCGGGGTGCCCAAGAAAGACCAAATAGCGTCCAGATAAACCAAGCATCACTTCTGAGTTTTGAAAAGACTTGCATGCGACCTGAATCGGATCACCATCAATACCATGATAGACCAGATAGCTGGTGGAATGGAAGGAAAGGAGGAAAGCAGCACTATGGGGACTCCACTGACTTCAACAGTGGTAAGGGTTATGGCTTAGCCTGGGACTTTAACCAGTCAGAACAGCCCAGCAGTACATTTCAGCAACCGGACAGCAGTCATGGCACTGAACACCTGCCTAAACCAGGAATTGCTCTGTTTGATAGTGGTCACAGACCAGGTCCATTGGCTCAGCCTGCCATCTCTGAAACCAACAGACCAGTCAACGCACATGTGCCTTTTCAGTATCATGATTCAGTTAACCAGATCCATCCAGACTCTTTGACCAATGATCATGATGATGACAGGGTAGTAGGGATCAAACAAGGATCTATCCTGTCTGCTGATCTTCCAGGATCATCCCCATTTGTTCAAGCCCATGAGATAAGTAGCAATTGCAGCTTCACCACAGAAAGTCAGAACACCTCGGAAGCTCCTAGAGAAGACAACAAAAAGCCTCATCGAGGAAGGGGTCCACCTAAGAAGAGACGTCCTGAGTTTGAATCTGAATCGGATAATGAGGCAGAGGCCGGTCTGACCAGTAAAAAGGAGTGTTTGGATGAGAGCTCAAGGGTTGTGAAAGATAGTAAGGAATTTTTCCACCAAATTCAAGAGGTGGAGCGCCCACTGCTCAGTCTGAAAGAGTTCCAGGATCCAGCTGTGTGGAGGGAAAAGGCAAAGCAGAAAAAAATGCCACCCTACTTTGACCTCATCGAAGAAAATGTGTATCTGACAGAACGGTAAGTATATATTTTTATCCCTGGCAATTGAATTCTTGTTCTTTTGCATTGGCAGTGCCACGCTCTGCTTTTTGAATTAACTTATTTCTAAATGTTCATTTGTTCATTTAATTTGATCTTTCATAAAGCCCATAAAATCTGTTCTCTGTCCTTACAGCAAGAAGAATAAGTCTCATCGAGACATCAAGCGAATGCAGTGTGAGTGTGCTATCCTCTCAAGGGAAGAGCGCTCCCAGGGAATGATGGCATGTGGGGAGGATTGCCTCAATCGCTTGCTGATGATTGAGTGGTAAATATCCTGCTACTACATCATAGTATTTGCTTTATAGCAGAGAGAATCTGTAGTGAGAGACTATAGTTATCATGTTTACGTTACTTGCTGAGTTTATATTACTGGCAGATTACAGCAATTTGCAGTAAAAACATTGAGGGCAAAATTTTTCTTTTCTTTTTCTTGTTCTTTCAAGCTCTTCCCGGTGTTTGAATGGAGCATACTGCTCCAATAGGCGATTTCAAATGAAGCAGCATGCATACTTTGAGGTAATTTTGACTGAGACCAAAGGCTGGGGCTTACGAGCAGCCAAAGACCTACAGCCGTAAGTACTATTTGCTTCAGCTAACAAGTGCTTATTACATATGTTCTTTATGTCTTTTATGTTAAGTCACCTGTTTTTTTGCAGGAACACCTTTGTTTTAGAATACTGTGGAGAAGTTTTGGATCACCGGGAATTTAAGGCACGGGTGAAGGAGTATGCGCGAAACAAGAACATTCACTATTATTTCATGGCTTTGAAAAATAATGAGGTGAGTCTGTGGAATTAGTGCAGAAATGATAATTTGAAGTGTTGCTGACTTCGATGAATTAAGTTAGGTTTAAAAAAAGACACAAGAGCCTATGCCTCTATTATGTCTGCAGATAATTGATGCTACTTTGAAAGGAAACTGCTCCCGTTTCATGAATCACAGCTGTGAACCCAACTGTGAAACTCAGAAAGTAAGTGCACTTGATATATTTTTGTACCTCACTGTACCCCCAGACAAATCCTACTCCTCCTCATTATCATAAGAGCTTGAGCTGGATTGTTGTACAGTATACTTGCATAGTTCTTCCAGTTCCAGTATGTTGTTCAGAAAGACTGCTGCACAGCACCACCTCCACTTCAGGATGAGAAGCAGGATGTCAATAGAAAATGTAAATGTGATTGTTAGTGTGATGTTATCATGGAAAGTGGGTCAAACAGGCAGACCTTTCTGTCTAGCAAACAAATAGTTGATTACTGAGGTCAACTACTTATACAGTAAAAGGTTATTTAGCCACATTTTGTTCTATAACTTAATGCGTCTGATCTGTGTCTGTTTGCACATCTCTATGCATTTTTTTTTTTTGCCTATGTAGGAATAGGTGCCTCTGGAACTTAGAGCCTTTGATTTCTATGTAAAATCTTTGTTTTGCATTTCTAATCCATCGCACCCTTTTGCAGTGGACTGTAAATGGCCAGCTCCGAGTTGGCTTCTTCACCACCAAAGCTGTGACAGCTGGAACAGAACTCACTTTTGATTATCAGTTCCAAAGATACGGGTAAAAGATCCAGTCGTTTCCTTTCATGTATAGTCTTGTTTTTTTCTTCAAATGAAACTCGGCATACATGTTGATCATAATATCACATCTTTCTTCCTTTGTCCACCAGTAAAGAGGCCCAGAAGTGTTTCTGTGGAGCTCCTAGCTGTCGAGGTTTAATTGGTGGAGAGACTCGGGTTAGTGTCCGAGCAGCAGGTGGGAAGAAACAGAGGGAACGCTCACGGAAGAAAGACACTGACAGTGCGCTTACCACGGTGAGCAAGAGGGCCCGATTATTGTGTTTCATCCAGCTACAAGAGAAAGGCAGAATAAATCCATGCAGTGACTGGGAAATGTTTTACATGTCAAGTCCATGACTCTGATATCATGTTTCAGTGGTTTAATTTAGTCAACATTTGCGCTTGAACAATTATGTGCTAACACTAGACACAAATAATACATGGCCTGCCAGATTTTCAAACCGTTGTAGCAAAGTGTTATCTTAAACCAGCAGTACCAAAGCAATAACCTTGTGGCTGAATTGGGTCAGCATTGTTCTTGCTTGCATGTTAATTGCTCTGGGACTTTCAGGGCTTGTTCCAGTCTACAAATAACACGGCTAATATATTCTGCATGCATTCAAGCTAATTGCATTTTGAGGTTTTTATGGCTTGTTTGAACTAGCACTCTTCATCTCTGGCACAGACCTGCACTAAGAAAGTAAACAAAATGTAGAAACATCCTCCTGATACATGAAATTGAATGACTTGAAATTAGAAGTGAGCTTTTGCCGTGGTCACAGTTTGATCGAGATCAACAAAATATTTCTCCTGTGGTGCTGCTGGTATCTAAACTGGTTGACATTGTTCTGCAGTTGGATGAGGAGCTGGAGGCTCTGCAGGAGAATGGAGAAGGCTTGTGTGGAGAGAAAGATGTGATCTCGCTCTGCAGACTCATGGTGCGAGTGGAGACAATGGAGCAGCGACTCACCTGCCTTAAACTCATCGAGGTATACTGGAACACCGTCACATTGAAATAAATTTGATTTATTGCACAGCATTGCAGTGCTAGAGGACATGCTACTGCATATTTGTGGTTTGGCGTTAAGCATTTAAAAATGACTGAAAACTGGTCTTACTGAGTTTTTTGCATGTCTGTGCAGAATACCCAGAATCCCTTGTGCCTGAAGCAGTTTTTGGATCACCACGGCTTGTCGCTGCTGTGGATATTTATGGTTGAACTTTCTGAGGCTAAGAGCAATTCTGTAAACAACATTAAACTACAGCTGGAGGTAAGAGTTCAAAACAAACACACACACACAGTTAGGGGGGAATTTAAGAGCAGATCACCAAGCAAGTTAGTGGGCTGCTAGCTATTTCTGCCATTTCCCTCAAGCAAAATCCAGAAATTCATAGTGGTCTGATATTTTAGTAAATGTAACTTAATTATGATAAGGCTGTATGTAGTTTTAAGCTAAAATTTAGGGTGCTGTCTCCGAAAGCTAAACTTTTTTTTTTTTTTGGGTGAAATTCTTAGATAATGAAGGCTCTGGCAGTGCTTCCCATCTCAACAAAAAACATGCTGGAGGAGAGCCGAGTGCTACAGTTTATCCAGCGCTGGGCTCAAAGCCGGCCACTCAGCCAACCAGCAGAACAGGATGGCTACTCCAGTGAGAGCACCTCACGTGCCCAAACGCCCCTCAACACCCCTGATGGTCCACCAGCCAAGCTGGCTACTGAGCTGGATGGAGACACTCCCAAGCGGGCAGTCTACCGTAGGTTGAAGATCATCAGTGAGAACAGTCTGGACAGTGCCCTGTCCGATGCTAGTAAAGCTTCGGATGGGAAAGAAGAGGAAGATGAGGAAGAGGAAGAGATGGAGGATGAGCCTTCACAGTTGGAAGCCACAATTGAAAGGGAGGTAAAAGTAGAAAACAGTGAAGCGCCTTCTGAGAGTCAAGCTGAGCTTGAGCCCGAATTAAAACAGGAGCCCCCTGAAACCGAAGAAGTCACACATTCAACACCAGAGGCCACTGCCGGTGAAGGAGAGACACTTGAAACACAAGAACCTGAAGAAAAACCCCTCGTTAAGCCTGAAGAACAACTGGAGGATGAGAAGATTGTGGAAGAGACCAAGAGTGAGGAGCCATCAGAGTCCCAGACAGAGTCAGCAGCAGTTGAAGATGCCCCTTCAGTCACAGACACCACATCTGCAGCAGACATTAGTAATGATGTAGTTGCTGAAGTGGAAACTCCCATAACTGAGACCCAGGTGGAAAACACATCTTCTGAACAATGCAGCTCCGAAGAGAATGCAAGTTGCAGCACTGCAGGAATCACACCCACGCAACCGTCGGAAACCATAATGGAGAGCGTCTCCTCTGAATCCACAGCTGTTGCCATAGAGAGCACACCCACAGAATCTCCATCTGTCTCTGTGGAAACCACTCCAACTGGATCTGCTGCTGTTTCTACTGAAATTGTGTCATCAGAGGCTGACGTAGCCGCCGGTTCTGCTGATGCATCGGCCCTGGCTATTGTGGCTGTTCCAGCAGAGGGCGCTGCAGTGGGGACGCCTTCTCAAGATGAGGAGGAAGGTGTTTCTGATGTCGAAAGTGAGCGCAGTCAGGAGCCACAAGTTCGGGCTTCTGATATCAGTGATATGGCCGCCCGGCTGCTGGACAGTTGGAAAGACTTAAAGGCAAGGCTATAATTTGTTAAAAGTAGTGATGCACCAATGTCGTTTTTTAGTAGGCCAAGTACAAGTACTGATAGTACTATAGTTCTCACATTACTTGCTATAGTTAGCATGTTTAAAGGGATAGTTCACCCCAAAATGAAAATTCTGTCATTAATTACTCACCCTCATTTTATTTCAAACCCGTAAGACTCATTCATCGTTCATCTTTGGAACACAAATTAAGATATTTTTGATTAAATCTGAGAGCTTTTTTTAACATCGTTTAAATAGTCCATGTGACATCAGTGGTTCAGCTAGTGCTGGGCGGTTTGACCAAAAATCTGTAGCATGGTTTTTTTATTGGATTGTGGCGGTTTTATGGTTTATCACGTTTTTTTTCCCCTGACTGTGCCTTTACATGAATCCGAATGCATGAAACAGTTGAAGAACCACTGCATTTTAATCACTATCCAAACAAAGATGCTGCATGAGCAGTGTTTATTTAAATTAGATTGTATAGTTTCACAATTTAAAGCAAAAAGCAGAATGGTCTGATTTTAGCCTTGTGAAGCTATACTACATAAAACATCTGCATGAAACAAAAACACCAGACGGGCTGAATGAGACTCAAACTTACTCTCTGACAGTAGGTGACACCTATTGAGCAGCAGCGATACAGCGTTTCCTTGGTTACCGCTGTAAACAAAGCAGTGCTACCCTTACTAAAACTAATTTAATATGCATTATACGTAGGCAAGACAAAAAGAAAATACCATCTAAACTTTTCTGAAGACATTCAGTTCCCCTCAGCGATACATTCATATAAACCCTCACTCCCGATTCAGTATTTAGCATTTTCATGGTGGTGCTGCTGACGCAGGAGTCGGCATTCTGACGTAGAACCCGGATGCGCTGCACCTTCTTTACAAGCAGACGAATGCACACGTATGCGTTGTGTTACTGTCGTGAATGCATGTCGAAGACTGACATGGAAAAGAAGAAATTGTTGAATAAAGTCTTTATTTTTATTCTCTTTGCGCACAAAAAGTATTCTCGTAGCTTTATAAAATCAGTTGAACCACTAGTTTCCATTACCCTTCAAATTGCGCAAATTGCGAATTGAAAATATGCCTAATGGAAGCGCATCAATTTAGCAAAAACGCCCATATATCGCAACAAAAAAAATGTTACGCTCGCATGAGGTGGTTTTTCAGTCAATTCGAAAAAGGAATATTTCGCAAAACTGCAATGGAAACTTTTTTTTTTTTCGCATTAACAGGTCACATGTGAAACTTTCTAATGCATGTTTATCTGAAAGGCTATGCATTTAGCTTTACGCATATGCTAAGCATACACATAAAAACCGAAGTATACTTTGGGCTTAACTGTTCCTGTGTATCACTTCTTAAAAATAATTGTGCATTTAAAGAAAAGATCATGTTGGATAACAAATAAACAAGCAGTTTTTTCCCCCTCAGGAAGTTTACAGGATACCAAAGAAGAGCCAGGTTGAAAAAGAGTCAAGTGGTAGGTCAAGAACGCATCATATTCTACCCAGTTTAATTGTAAACATTTCATACTTTTTTGTTATATACTCTGATCCATCCTTTGTTTTAGATCGCAGTCGTGATCGAGAAGCCCTGATGACCCCTCGCACACCTTCGAGCAGTCGAGAGAGAGAGCGAGAAAGAGAGAAGGAGCGTGATCGGGATCGAGACCGGGACAGAGACTGGGAGCGTGAACGAGACTGGGACCGTGACCGTGAGCGGGACCGGGAGAGGGATGGAGAGAGATCGACTCTTCGCAGTGCAGATAGAAAAAGGCGACGAGGCTCCACCTCCCCTCTGCCGCCTTCAGCTTATGAGAGGGGCCGCAGAAATGATGACCGGTAAGACTTAAGACACAATAAAATCAATACATACAATTCTGTAGTTACTTAATCACCCTCATGTTGTTCCAAAGTCGTACAAGTTTAATGGAAAACTTGGGAAAGTGTTTGGAACAACATGAACCTATTTTAATTTCTGAACAAAAATACATGATAGATTTACATGTTCAAAGTGTGGTTACTGTATTTTCTGTAGTTATGAGCAGGCCAGCAGCAATAAGAAACTCCACACCAAAGAGTCTCGTAACAAGCTGTCTACTGAGGAACGACGAAAGCTCTTCGAGCAGGAAGTGGCTCAGCGGGAGGCCCAGAAACAACAACAACAGCAACAACAACAGCAGCAGCAGCAATTACAGACTCTTGCGTTTAACCCACTGGCCTACATCTCCAGTCCAAACTTCATGGCCTACCCGCCTGGATACCCTATCCAGACCTACGTGGATCCCACCAATCCCAATGCAGGAAAAGTGCTCCTGCCCACACCTGCTGTAGAGCCTCTTTGTGTCACCCCAGCTCCTGGTACATATGAACAAACACCTACACAGCCCATCATATCAGATCTCAGTCTAGCTTCACCCTCTTCCACCACCACCCAGGCCGGACCTGCCTCCAGCTTGTCACATATCCCTGCCTCTCTGGAGCTTTCCTCTGGCACACAGACTCAGCAGTTTATCCAGCCTGCTGTGCCAGCACAGGACCCGAGCGTGGCTGTCTTGTCGGTGTCTGCGCAAACAGCCAGCCCACAGGTCCAGGGTCAGCAGGGCTACACAACGCTCTGGGACCCCAACACACAGCAAGCGGTCACGGTACAGACACAACCGACCCAGCAATACTCCACCACGGCACAGCCTCAGACTGCCATCTACTATCAGGGCCAGCCCTGCCAGACCATCTATAGCATTCCTGCAGGCTACCCACAAACCAGCACTCCTGTCATACAGGTTGGACACTAATACTTTCCTTTCAGTCCTCATTCTCACTATATTCTTACATAGTGGTCAACTGATAAAAGCTTTTGAGTGTAGATATGTTGACAGTGGTATACGTAAATACAAAATATGATGCAATGCAGTTTCATAAAATCTTGTTTACATTTACAAATGAAACATTTTATATGCAAAAAAGCTAGGGATGCACAATTTCCCCTATTTACAGTTAAAAGTAAATATAACAGTGACTATCCATTTTTGTACATGTTGTAATGCCTAAATTAATTCGTAACATTTAAAGTGATGAATTTTAGTTATTTTGTAGTTTTTTGTTTTGTTTTGGCAAAATAGCATAGAATGTTAATATAAGCCATTAAACAGTTTATAACCATAATATGAAAATAATCAGTTTATCATTGCTTGCCAGTCTGTGTTTGCATTCGTAATTCAAACATTTTCTACAACAGTACAATCTGGAATCACAGTGCGTTTCCACCAAAGAAATGGCAGTTCTGGGTTGGAAAAATAGTTCTGAAAAAGTCCATCTGTTTTCTAAATCCATGTTATTGATCTCATTGTGAATAATTCATTCAAACGTGTTTTTTTTTTTTTTTAAACATTCTGACCTAATCCCCCACCCCCCCCAAAAAAATAACCCGATCTTCTGGTGAAATAACAGATTTCTTTCTGGTGCCTTTTTGCCTGGACTTCTCCAATCATTTAGTCTCCTTAAACTAAGGGTGCTCCGATCATGATTTTTGGAGCCGATCGTCGATCACAGGAAGCATTATCTGCCGATAGATAGATATTAGGGTTGTGACGGTGAGAACATTTTCCCACCTGTTAATCGACGTGTGACAACACCGGTAATACTGGTATAACCGTGGGGGCGGGGGCGTTCCCTCTTTTCCTTGCTTTCCTTCGCTTTTAAATAGTTTGTAAAAGCGGCATGCACATTTTTCTTTCACTTTCAAATAGTGGCAATTCGCAGTAAAGCAATTGTTCGTTTTTAGTTCGTTTGAATTCTCCCTCTTTTCCTCGCTTTCCTTCGCTTTTAAATAGCTTAAAAGCGCAGTGCGCATTTTACTTTCACTTTTGAATTAGTGGC